GAGATTATTCGTAATAAATAAACCATTAGATGATTCTTCATAAATAAATCACGAGATTATTCGTAATAAATAAACCATTAGATGATTCTTTATAAATAAATCATTAGATTATTCGTAATAAATAAACCACTAGATTATTCTTATTAAATAAACCACTAGATTATTTTAATAAATAAATCACGAGATTATTCGTAATAAATAAACCATTAGATGATTCTTTATAAATAAATCATTAGATTATTCGTAATAAATAAACCATCAGATTATTCTTCATAAATATGCCATTAGATGATTTTTAATAAATAAACCACTAGATGATTCTTTATAAAAATACTGAACGTTTTTCGTTGAAATATTGATGTTTTTCAGTGTTGTATGCAGTCACAAAGAACATTAGACGTTTTGACATATTTTCTAACTTGACGACTTCAAGTCAGAAAATTTGTTTGTAACAACTACAACTGGTAATAATCAACAGGTGTAGTTCAGAGACATGAAGAGGACATTTTAAAATCACCTATTTTAAGTTTTATTTTGTAAATTAATGATTAAAGTATTCTGAACTGAAGCTACCACAGTCGACAAAAATCCCTCGAATAAATCAGATTTTCTCACGAACAAATCAAAACCACCTTATTACATAACATATATATATACATAAATTTAAGTTATGAGAAGTGTGGAGATGTTACATATCATATTACAAAACTCAATCTAAAATGTTAAATAAAATGGTGAAAAAGTTTTGAAGCTTGTAATACTTTCTTTTGTTAGATACATCTGTATCCACGTTCGTTTAATATTCATACATAACAGCTTCAGTCTACAAACATACTCAAGTTTAAGTATCGTATGTACATACACATTTTCTTCTACTTACTTTAAAAACATAGCACACACATCCTACACATTTTTTCTATCATACATACACAATCACGTTTAATTATCCTTCATGTGTAGATACCAATTTTTTCATCTCTTCTACACACACACACTCACGTCTATCTATATATCTACCAACTCTTGCAGACAGTATAATAATATACTACAGAATGTCGATATCAAGTAAAACAGTTTGTGGACTCTTCACATCAGTGAATATATATTTTTTTACAGACAAGATAGATACATATCGCTCATGTAAATACTACACGTAGTTGCCGACAGGATATGGACTCTAACGAATTAAACCTAAATGCATTATAATTAAGTTTAACTCTTAAAAAATCTGTTCATGGTATAAACGCTCAATAAATGACTGAGTTGACCTTTCCTGCCTGACTGGACAGCTTCGTGTAGCGGTATGTCCCCACGCATGTTGGTCATCCACAGGTTTCCACCTTTGGCTCCCAGGATCTTTAAAGTCTCCAGTTGGCCTTTCGCAGCTCCACAGTGAGCAGCTCTTAGGATAGGAAATTATTTGTTATTATTCCTCAACATTTTACAGTTAATAGTTTATGACAAACATCCGACAAACACAAACTCGATCATTAATTTACCATCAGAAGTAAAATGTTAGTAATATTTTTTTAACAAAAGCTAAACATAATTTTACATAAACCCTATTGGTAACTTTGGATAAAAAGTAATTATTATTTATGTTTATAAAAAACGCTTCTACTTTTTATGTTCTCCAACAATAAATAATAATGTCAGCACGTTGTATGTACTTTCTTAAAGGCCAACACGTATCTCAACATTTTGTGTGTGAAAGGCCTGTAAAGATTGGTTACACGCATAAAAAAGGGGCCTACGTTCGTTAATAAAGTAATATTTAAATATTAACCCGTAATGGATTTGCTTTAGGTGAATTACAGGAACTTGTTTTTTTATATCAAACCGTTTTGGTCATGTGTAAATTACAATGTATTCTTCTGTCCGTATGATACCCATAGTGATGACGACAGAAATTTTATACCCACTTTGTACTTATAAAACTTGCCTTTCACTTACCAGTAGTTTGAACACGTCGAGAACTCGAAACTAATGATGTTTTTTCTGCTTGTAAAGTTACTTGGTTTAGATGTAAACCAAAGAACTTATGTAGATTATCAAGTTTTGAAAGAAATAAAAGTGAACGAAGTGAAGCGTTCTTCAGTGTTAAAGGATAAATTATTATATTTTTAGATAATAATATGTCAATTTTTTTGTATCGGCCGGATTCTTTACAGTGGGTATCTGTGACTTTTTGGCGATAAATGTCAAGAATAAACAAACAACACACAGCCCACTTGTTCTAAAATAACATATTAAAACAAATCAAAACATTTATACAAATGTTCGTTAGATAGTTGGTTACCACATTTGTATCCAGAGCTCTAAATAATTGTCTCCTTTTCGTCAAAGTCCAGACAAGCTGGTTCAGTTACTTTAGAACACAATTTGACAGAAAAGTATATACGCTAAGAACAGTATATGAAAAGTGCATTATATTTGTATGATTTCTAAGCTAGCAATGCTAAAAAAATGTCTTGATTAATTTTGAATAATTTTTTTATTGGTGGAATGTAAAATTTAAGATTACACTTTAATCTTTAAATACACCTGTAAAAAATTTCTAATATTAAGCATTTATTGGTGAGCTTCACATTTACATAATAGCCATATTTACGACACATATGCAAAGCTCATGGAAGTTATTAGTATTGACTTACGACACATATGCAAAGCTCATGGAAGTTATTAGTATTGACTTACGACACATATGCAAAGCTGTCAATACTAATAACTTCCATGAGCTTTGCATATGTGTCGTAAGTCAATACTAATAACTTCCATGAGCTTTGCATATGTGTCGTAAGTCAATACTAATAACTTCCATGAGTTTTGCATATGTGTCGTAAGTCAATACTAATAACTTCCATATACCTATAAGGATCACTAAATTTATAAAATATATCTGTTTCCAATTCACTATTTGTATTTATTTTGATTATTATGAGAACAGAAGATAAAGATTCAAAGGTAAATTGTAAAGATTCAGGTAAAGATTGTTTTCATAAATTAAAAAATAAATTATGCAAATGTAGCCCCTGTAAAAATTAATAATAAACATACGGTGTATTTTTTTTTATAAGGCAACGAAGAAAATGTCGACGACTTGTAAACTATAGTTACATTCTACATTGAAATAACGAGAAACAATATTAAAAGTTCCTGAGCTATGAGCTATATGTTTGGTTAGATGTCTCCAGGGCCTAGGCTATAGCTGCCTATCATGTTTATCATTGGAAATTACTTTTGACACCAAGGGATTTCCTCAATATGTAGTCTTACTTGAAGGTCCAATAATATTATAATAATTTCCTACGATTTATCTACTTAAAAAGCCTCCCAGTGGCACATCGGTATATTTGCGGACTTACAACGCTAGAAACCGGGTTTCGATACCCGTGGTGAGCAGAACAGAGATAGCCCATTGTGTTACTTTGGGCTTAACTTCAAACAATAACTGCTTGAAAAACAACACAGAGATTTCTTTAACCACAAATATTGGGTGATATGCTTGTTTATTTTAACTCTACTTTTGTGTAGTTTAGATAGAAAATATAAATAACCCAAATCTTTATTATTTTCTAAAAAACTCGACCCTTTAGTGAAAAAGGAAGGGGTAAAATTTATAAAAATATATAGTTTTTGTCACTTCCTTAACAAATTTTTAAACATCATCGCATTTCGCTTGGTTTGCTTATATGTCAACGTGTCGGACTGAGAATCGAAGGGTCTGGAGATCGTGGTGTGATGCAGCTGAACACGCTCCGCACTTTCGGCTGTGGGTATGTTATAACAACTACAGTCAATTCCATTATTCGCTTCAAAGTCATAATTACAGTTTTCTCGCAAACTCGTTAAGGGCTTTCGAAAGATCAAAATCGTTATTATTTTGGAAGTCTTGTTAGAAATATAGTTTTTGATTCAAAAAGCTCTTTGTTATCAAAATTAAGAACTTTCAAAATTATTAATTCATGATTGAATTTTCTGAGCTATATCTGTTCCCTTTATATACTTCACTCCAATTTTCTTCTCCGCCCCTGTTCTTCTGGAATTGTCACTTTGAAGGTTTACTAAACTCTTGTGAAATTTCGAATGTTTGTCTATAGACATTTTTAATCCTGTCATTATCACTTAAGTAAATAAATTCCCATCTGATTTCAGCATATTTTATCGTCTTTATATCCTCTAGCTGTTTATTAAACTCATTCTTCATCCTAATTCCATATTTTAAAACTAATTTGCAAAATGCTTCCCAATGCTTAACGTTTGTTTCGCTTTGTTTACAAAGTTTATTCGGTTGAAGTACTGGATTATCGAAAAAAAACAGGATTTTTTAATGAAAATTCAACGAAAAAATTATAACTTAAAAAGATCGCTTTGGACAGTATTTTCTATAGCACCCTAGCTTAAAGCTTGCGTTTTCTGATTTTTATGTCATTAACAAAATTGAAAATCTAGTCAACTAAAGTGGTAATTTATAACAGACAACACATAAAATTCATAATTTACATAGCTTTCCTGAACTCATCACGCCTAAGTGCTCATATAGTTAAAAGTATTTTCAACCTCAATATCAAGTTACGCCTCACAAGATCAAAGTAATAGTTTAGGCCTAAACCAATATGCAAAGCAGCAATCCAAAATAATAAGTTCATGAGTATGAACGAGTTGACTATTATTCAGGTAATTTAAATGTACTGTATATGTATGTATGTATGTATTTTTGTAATACCACAATTATTTGGACACTAACACTTCAGAAAATGAATCACCAGTTTAACTCAGTGTTATGAACTTGGGTGTAGGGAACATTGGTTGTAGTTGAGAGATGAGAAGGCGATCAGTTTTTATAAGCCCCGAAGAGATTAGGAGATTAAAAAACTCTAGATCATTAGGAAATGATTAGAGGGAGCAACCGCCTTTCTTCTTCAGCGGTGTGGCAACAACAGGACCTCTTGTGATTATGAAACGTTGTAATCAAAACAGGTATACAAGGTCAGAAAGAAAGAGACTGTGTTTGACGTAGTTTTTGAGAAAAAAAAAAGTACAGAAGTTTAGCAGAAGATAGAGATATGAAAGGATTAGAAGATGTGAGAGAGACTGAATAAACTGAGAGAGAGGTGAAAGAAGAAAGATATGCTGCCATTAAGAAACAAAACTCAGTTTTAAATCTATGTGTTATTGATTATAGTAATAAACAGAAGTTTATTTTATTTAAGTTAGTATGAGTCAATTCCTGATAGAGCTGGGTACAACCTTAATAAAACTAAAGGGAAAGCAAAATGTGAGTATAGCATGATCGTAAGAAAATGGTGTCAGCAGTGGGACTCATCAATTCGTTAGGAATCGAAACCCAACAGTGGAAGTAGAGTTTGAAGTTGGAACCACATTAACAAAAGTGAAGAAACTTGATGAAGGAGTGAAGTCTGGAAAGAGAGTGAGTTTATTTTTTGTTCTTATCTTGCCTGTTTTGTTTTTGATGGTGGTACATTTAATTCTTATTGGTTATAAGATGTGCAATACATTGTTTTAGACTAGAGAATTTACACTAGCATGGATGAAAACTAGAAACCATTGATAAAAACCAGTTGTTAAATAAATATAGAGAACTGAGTATAACAGGTAATAGCAATTGAAAAAAAAAGATGAGATACCTGAAGTTTTAATTGAGACAGGCGTCACAATAGATGATTGTTTTAATCCTAAGCTTCGTTAAAATAAGGGAACTGCGAGCTGTGTTTACGAAGGTTACTATGGTAACGATTTACGACTTGCTAAGATACAGCTAAAAGTGAAATGCTTGGAAATAGAAGCCAAGAAAAATGTTTCGAGCTGGAGATAGAAGATAGGAATAAGCAGTGAGAGAATTCGATTTGTTGGTGAGTGGAAGACAGGATAATTCTGGTGATAGGAATAATTTGCATGAAAGAAGCACCCATCACCATGTGTAGCTGCCTAATTTTTGCGAAAGTGATGTAGATGTATTTTTGTGATTTTCTAAAAATAGCATAACAGTGGCAGCCACAGGATATGATGAGGAAAGTACTTCCTGCATTACCTGGAGAGGCGTTAGCATCATACAATAAAATTGGAAGCACAGACGCACTGAAATATGATGTAGTGAAATCAGCTACTTTAGAGACTTGATGCACGAAGTTCAGAGAGTTAGAAAACATGGCAAATGAGACATTGAAACAGTATGAAATAAGGCTTTATGAGTTGCTAGTTAAATGGATCGAAGAGTCTAACTATACTGGAAACTCTGACAAGATTGTAGATTTAATGTTGTAAGAACAAGTTTTGAAAAAATTACCGATTCAGTTAGTAATATGGTTATAAGATAAGACGCCAGCAAATGCACGTGAGACAGTGACGTTAGATGATAAATATGTAGTGATAAGAAAACATAGTGGATTGAAAATAGGTGAAAATCAAGCTAGTAGAACTGCTTACCACAAACAAATAAAACTGGATCAGCGATCCTCGAGAGCTCTAAGGAGAACCTTTCCACAGAGTGATATTCTAAATAAGGAGAGAGATTATAATCCTCCACCAAAATGTTTTATATGTGACAAAGTTGGATATGTAGCTAAATTCTCTAAGCAGAATAAGAAAACTGCAAATAAAAGGGAGAATGTAATGTATTGTATTGAAAACAGAGAGAAAATTTCAAATAGATATTAAGTAGTGATGATAAATACCATAAACGTATGGGAGAATGTAATGTATTGTATTGAAAACAGAGAGAAAATTTCAAATAGATATTAAGTAGTGATGATAAATGCCATAAACGTATTAAAGGATATTTGTAGTTGTAAAACTCTGGTGAGAAAAGAGTTAATATAAGATAATCAACTCACAGGTGATACATTACTTTTAACTCGGTTTAGCACAACAGCAGGAGAGGGGGGGGGGGCTTAGTATACTGTACCACTAGCTAAAGTTACATTGAAATGTCGAGCTTTTGAAGATGAAATGATCATAGGGGTGGCAGATGGTATCCCACATCCGATTTTGCTTGGTAGTGAGGTAGAGGCAGTCGGGTTCCAAAATACACCAGTAGCAGTGGTAACACGTATCCAAAGTATCAAGATAACAAATGATATTAGAGAAAATTCTGAAATAGGGGTAGAAGTTAGCGAAGAAATAAATCATCAAGTAAATATTAACGATAATTTAATTGATGTTAGAATAGGGAACATGGATCGAGGACAAATAATTAAATGGCAGTTAGAAGATGAATGTTTGGATAAACGTTGCAGTGAAGCCGTGATAGAGGATCCTGAAGTAACAAAACACGGGCGAAACTATTATTACTAGCGGGAAAGAGTGTTGAGGCATAAGTGTAAGGGGAATAATGTAATAGATAGTATTAATGAATATTTATTCCAAAGAAACGTATACTGACAATATTAAAGTTAGGGCATGATGTTATGTTTGCTGGACACTTAGGCACAGATGAAACGAAAGATGGGATCAGTAAAAATTACTACTGACCAGGTATGTTTGGAAATATAGAGACTTATGTAAAGAGCTGTCCATCATGTTAATGTCCAGCTGTCAACAGAGGCATGAAAGTAAGAAATCGAATGGTTAATTTATCAGTTATTAGTGAACCCTTTAGGTTTGTTATATTATCGGACCACTTCTAGTAATAGAGCAAGGGAATTAATATATTATGATAATGGTTGGTTCTGCCACTAAATATGTAGAAGCAGTAACACTAGCTCTACAGAAGCAGAAAAAATGGAGTGAAAGCTGACAGTGATATTCTTATGGGTCGGGTTTACTGAAGAATTCTTATGAGATTTAGGTAGCAACTTTCAATCAAAATTAATGCAAGAATTATTGAAGGTGAAAGAAGTAAAAACGAAACACACTAATCCTTAGAGGCCATTATAGGCCACAAACAAATGGGATATATGAGAGAGCAAATGGAACAATGAAGGCCATACTAAGAGTAATGATACATGAGAATCTGCTGAATGAGATATAATGTTGCCGTTTGTGCTACTTGCATATCGAGAAGTCTCCTAAGCTACAACAGGATTTTCCCCCTTTGAGTTAATAAACGGTAGAGATGCTAAGGGTCCATTAGACTTATTGAAAATAAATTGGAACAGAGACAAAGCAGAGTCACAAAATGTTCTAGAATATGTGATCAGCTTGAGGCAAATGTTAGCAAAAGGTCAGAGGTTAGTGGCTAAAGCTACTCAGGGGAGTAAAGATGAACAAAAGCTTCGCTATGATAAGTATGCTAGAGAACGACGAATCACCTAGTTGGGATATTGGACCAAATACCCCAAAACAGTTTTGCGGCAAGATGTATAGATCCTTTCCCTATAAATTAAGCGTGTGGGTAAAACATTTGTTATGGAAATGGACCATAACCCTTTAATCGGGTTGCACAGAGTGAGGAATGAAGACAGTAAGCTGCTGCAGTGGAGTCAGTTACAACAGGAGTTATATTTTATAGTATGTTATAGACTAGCGAGTGACCATTGAAATGCAGATGCTCTTTCCCTCTTGAGCTATTAAGATCAATCTGTGACCACGCTCTGATTAAACCTAATATATTGTACATAAATATGAGACTTAAGATCCATCCACCTAAGGTTAAAACTGGTGTTGTTTGTGAATATCTGGTTATGTCAATGAAGGGAAGAATACGAATTTTTGAACTTACTGGTTCGAACCCTGAACAGTAAAGGTGGAATGGAGAGACAGAGGTTATTTCCTGATTATCTATGTGTGGATATATATATATATATATATAAAAACAAAGACTGAACGTTTTTAAATAGTTATAATATATATATATATATATATATATACATATATAAACAAATATAGAACGTTTTGAAATGTTGTAGTGATATGTATATAATACTATGATGTTTATAAAATATTTAGACAAAGACTGTGAACTGTATTGTGATATATGTAAAGACGGTGAACTTATCAGTGTTCTACAAAAGTCTGTGAGTGGTTAAACAAGATGAGTGTGATACGCCAGAACTTTAGAGCCTGAGATAACATCGAAACGCAGCCGAGACTGATTACAATGAACATTATTCATTGTATTCAGGAAAAGTGGGGAGAGAAATGAGTTATGAAGTTCAATATACGAAACATTGGTTGGAGTTTAGAGAGGCGAGAAGGCGACCAGATTTTGATCAGTCCCTGAGGGATTAGGGGATTATAATACCCTAGGTCGTTAGGAAATTACTGGAGGGGTAGTCAGTTTTCTTTTTCAGCGGTATGGAGACAACAGAGCTCCCTGTGATTATGAAACGTCGTAATTAAAACAGATATAAAAGATCAGAAAGGAATTGATCGTGCTCAGCGTTGTTTTTGAGATAGAAATGTAAGAAAAATAAAAGAGAGAGGAAGGTACCGGGAACTGTGTGTGCGTGAGAGAGAGACGGAATAAAACGAGAGAGAGGCGAAGGAAGAAAGAATCGCTGCCAGCAAGAGAAACAAAATCCAGTTATAAATGTACGCATTTATTGATTATGGTAAAAAACAGCAATGTAAGTTTAAATTGATATGATTCAATTCCTGATAGAAATGAGTACAACCTTAATAAAGCTGAAGTGAAAGCGAGTATAGCAAGTTCGTAACAAGATGGTGTCAGAAGCGGACCATAACAGTCAGTGGAAATACTTACGTTCTTTCTTTTCGGTCTTGTAGATTAGGCTCAGCGCCATATTGTAACAATAGTTGTGTACAATCAGCGTAACCTAATGTGACGGCGTAGAACAGAGCTGTACATCCATTATTGTCGCTAGTGTCAACCTCAGCACCACACAAATTAATCAAGGTCTCCACACAACCCACATGACCCCGGCTAGCTGCACAGTGTAGAGCTGATGGACGGGAAAAAAGATATTATAGTTTTTTAGTTGTATCATTTTTTGAATTTTTTTTTATAAATGATACTATACACTTATATGCATTTGTTTTTATTTCCATTTGGAAAATAGATATCAATCTACAAAAATATTACAAGTATTTTCCAAACGCTAGGAAATGGTGCATATTTTATTATTTTTTTTTATTTTGTTTCAGCAAATGAAATAATTAATCGTTAAAAAAGAAAATTAGGAATGAGCAGATATCAGACCATGTAATAAGGCCTAACGTATATTTATAATTTTTTTTACACATTGCAGTATAAAGCTTGAACGTGACTAATTCAAACATAACTATTTTATATACTTAGTGTGAATAACAGAGATACTCCCATATGAACTGGGTTTAAAGTTTCTTTTCCCTACGTAGAGTAGGTTTCGATGTACATATTAAGAATAAGCTTAGTTCACATTAGGCTTAGTTCATCCAGCAATACAAAGAGAAATATTTTCACGTTCAGTGCTTCTCTGTGACAAATAAAACACACCATATCACATGCATCAAAGTGAAAAAAACAACTCTAATTGATCAATTCACATTATTGTTACTGTCATGTATTATGCTTATAAATTATTTACTCACCACAAGGTACTTTAATATGCTTACGAGAGTTGAGGGGACACGCACTGAGCACTAATGTTGCTAGTAACTCGTTCACAATTCTCTACCACACACACACATATTATACACGTGCGTTTATGATTGTCGAATTTTCAGATTTTAATATATTGTTTTAATTAACATTTATATGTAGTTTGGTTTACATTCTTCTAGTGAACGTTATTACAAGTACGTTTACGGCGTAACTAGCTCAAAACATCACACACACACACACAAAAAAACAAAACAAAATAGACTATGGTGAAACAAATTAACCATTAGTTGGGTTTATTCAGAAATTACTTAAAATAATGCCCGGCATGGCCAGGTGGTTAGGGCGCTCGACTCGCAATCTGAGGGTCGCGGGTTCGAATCCCAGTCCCACCAAACATGCTCGCCCTTTCAGCCGTGGGGGCGTTATAATGTGACGGTCAATCCCACTATTCATTGGTAAAAGAGTAGCCCAAGAGTTGGCGGTGGGTGATGATGACTAGCTGCCTTCCCTCTAGTCTTACAGTGCTAAATTAGGGACGGGTAGCGCAGATAGCCCTCGTGTAGCTTTGCGCGAAATTCAAAACAAACAAACAAACTTAAAATAATTATTCCCCGTTAAGCTTCCTTTTCCGCATAACAACAAAACAATGCAACAAAAGAAGAATACTCTGTTTATTTTATTTCCTAATATAATGTATATTTCACAGAGGCATATTTGTGTAGGGGGGTCAAAAGGGTGCAATTTGCATAGGCTTCCCGGATGGACAAGGCCCTGCAACTAAGAGAAAAAATACACAAAGCTACACAATGGCATATTTGTGCTTGCCCACCACTGGTATCTAAATCCAATTTTTAGCATTACAACTCTTCAGACGTATCACTGAAACACTGCGGGGCAAGAGAAAATAGAAAATTGATAAAGAATTGGGTGTCTCATTGCAAAATATACGTTAGCAACTGCGTCACTATGACAACCGTGAATTTAGTCGTTTCATATGAACCTATTATTTTGTAATTTTTCAGTAACATTTTATTCTATGCTTGTCGTTTTAGAAATATTTATTCGGCCATTTAACAAAGAAAAAAGGTGGTCATTATTTTATACTTATTATAAAACTTATAATAAATATTAGAATTAGCTTACAATAAAGTTTAAGTCCACACTACCGGAACAATACCAAATTGAAATGGAAACTATTAGGTCGTCAAGAAATTAATGTCGTTCTTTTTAGATGAAAAACCCGAACAACTTATATATCAAAACAAAACATTTATTAAATGAAATAGTATCCATTCTTATCGATGATGCTTTTCCATCTTACAATCAGGTTGTTAATGCCCTGATTAAAAAAATCACTTGGCTTTGAAGCAAGAAGTATGTCGATGTCCTCGTTTAACA